AACATGCGGGCAGTGGATATTGCGCCGCTGATGTGCGCCGGAGTCACGGTGTGGAATGCGCTGGAGACCGCGGGTGTGGATGTTTCTGGCGGGAAGGAGAATGGCGAAGGCAAATACGTTGCAATTTTGGGAGCGGGCGGTGGATTAGGCCATCTGGGGGTGCAGTTTGCGGCAAGACTGGGGTGGAATGTAGTCGCCGTGGACACGACGCCCGCAATGGGGATGCTGAAGGAGGTGGTTGAAGGACTTGGGGAGGATGGCAAAAGAGTCACGACGGTGGATGTATTGAAGGAATCGGTTGACGACGCGAAGAAGCGCATCTTTGGCGAGGCTGAAAAAGGGCTGGAGGGTGAGAAGGGTTGCGACTCGTCCATCATCCTCCCTGAATCACAAGCCGCCTTTGATTTTGGAATGAGTGTGCTGAAAAACCACGGCACATGTGTCTGCGTTAGTTTCCCAAAAGATGGATGGAAATTCAAGCCCGGCGACCTGGTTTTTCGACACATCAAGCTGCTGGGCGTCTTGACTGGGAGGAATCGACAGTTGCAAGCCATGGTGGATTTTGCGGCAAAAACAGGTGTGAGGGCAAAGATCAGGACATATCCGCTGGAGAAGTTGAATGAGTTGGTCGAGGACTACCATCGCGGTGTGGGTGGAAAGTTGGTCGTGGATATGGAGATGAAGCCGTAGTTGTGGATGGTACGACTGCTTGTAGCCGTTGCTATCGCTCACGCCTTACCCTGGGCATGTCTCGCGCTTCCTTGGCCTTTTCCCTCTTCCTTTGCCTTTTCTCTGCCTTGTCCCGCGCTTTCTTGCCCAAGCTTTGCAATCTGTCCTCCTTAGCGAGCCTCTTAATATCAGCCTCCTTTAGATAGTAAGGCTTCGACTTCTGTCCAGTACGAAGCGCCTCTTTCTCTTTCTCCTTGTGTCTTTTCCGGATCTCATTCTCGCGCCGGTGGGCCTCTGCATTGCGGATCTTTGATTCCAGTGACATGACTTGTCGCTTCAAATCGGCAACGACGTCAGGATCTTTGGCCTTCTTGATTTCAGCCTTGAGCTGCAGGATTTCATCGGCCTGATATGTGGACAGAAAAGAATAATTCTTGTTCGCCTTTTCCGTAGCGTTTCGGGCCCGATTTGCGGACATGACTGCAGGGTCGAAGCGCGGATCTCGTGATTTCAAGGAAGGGGAGGGCTCAAATATGATTCTCTTGCGCGAGACTGGCTTCCGTGCTGATTCAACGGCTGGGGCATGTTTTGAAGTTCTTTTGCGTGCGTCAACCTGCGCTTCCTTGGCTCTCTTACGAGTGTCGAATGTTCCTGCTCGACTCTCTCCATCGTTATTTGATAAAGGCTCTTCCAAGCTCTCTGCGAGTTTTCGTTTCCGTGGGTTGAGATTGAACGTTTCCTGGGCTTTTGCTAAAGCACCGAAGCTGATGTCACCCAAGGATGCTTCTTCGCCTGCCTCTGATCCCGATGATAGAGCACTACCCTGAAAATTGTTAGTATGGTAGAGGAGTTCGGTGTCTATAGCTTTGTACCTCATCTTCAGACTGTGAGTCGCTCCCTAGGGCTTCACTCCCCGACGGCGTCTGGTTGCTCAAATCCTGATCAGAAACCCCCAGATCCTCATCCTCTTCGCCTCCGTGTCTCAAATGAATAGGTCGATCTAAGAGCCGTCCTGAAGCCATCATAACCGGCAATGAGGTGGTGTACCAGCTGCAATGATTCTTGACCGCAGCCCCCCACGATGGACTTTTTGGAAGAGGCGCAAAAAGTGGACGTCGGAACTCGGGAGATCGACAAGCCTAAGCCAGATAAAGTTGAAGGCGACGCCATACCCAAAGGGGCACGCGCATCCCGCTGCGCTGCAGAGTCGAAGTCTGTCTCTGCCTGTCTTTCTAACAAAACATCCTCACGATTTCATCTAACCCCCTCTCAGTTTTCTCTCGACGCATTCGAACTACGCGCATTCTGGCGCTGCGCAGAGGGGTCGCGCTCTGTTGCAGATCGCATCCAAAAGTCTGCCTGACCTCCAAACACCCACTTCACTTCCCTCCCCCACTAACTCTTCTCTCAGTGGCAGCGAAACCCTCACTCCTTCCCACCCTCTTTACACCCTCTCTCATCCTCTATCCATACGGCCAGATCGCCCAATATGGGTAAGAGTCGAGGCGCCAGATACCGGCCGAACCATGGTCAGCAGCCCGCGCCAGCGGGGGTAACTCCCCAAGACCTTCAACCATGGAACGGAGGTGCAAACGATGCCTCCATGCCGGATCGAGTTGGGCAAATCCGACAAGGTGACTACTATGACTGCTATAGCCAGGACAGAATTGACATATACAATGCAGTGGACTCATGGAGATCCTACGGAAATGACAACTCGAGCTTGAAGACTGGCACCAACTTCCAGTCTTTCTACTCATCTTACCATGGTTACGTTGGCGGCCCTCAGCACCGGATGGACCCTCTCGCCCCACAAGGAGTCAACGCTGGCTCGTCTGTATTTCAGCCCTCGCATGTCCGACCCTCTCACTATACTCCATATCAGCCTCTAAGGTCAGTCCATAATTACGCTCGATATCCCACATATCGAGTTGACAAGCTGTACAGAATATCGGATGGCACACGTGAGAGAGACATTGTGCAGCAGGCTCAAAACGTATTGCCCATGGCTCAGCCACAGACTTTATCTCGATACCAGTTTCGAGAGAGGAAGCCGGCGCAAATTACCCCATACAGCGTCGCGGCTACCGCAGGTACGCCTGTTTCGTCTGTTGAAGCTGCGAGTAAACGTGGACATGTTGGCACTGTGCCGATTACCAAGGGTTCTCAGCGCAGTAGATGGGTCAGAGACGCCACACCTCCACCCACGCCAACAGCGTCCGAGGAGTACAAGAGAAAAGCAGCACTTGCGCCAGCCATCAGAGATGCACCACAAAAACTTCTAGTTATCCTCGACCTCAATGGTACTCTCCTTGTTAGACCTAATCGTCATCGTCCCAGGAACATAATTGTCAGACCTGGTGTCACCCAGCTACTAGATTACCTATTCCAGAACCATATTGTCATGGTCTACTCTTCTACGAAGCCCGACAACTGCGCGGCCATGGTAGATCAGTTCTTCCATCCCACCCAACGGAGTGCGATGGCAGGCGTCTGGGCTAGAGATAAATTGGGCTTGAACAAAGTGCAGTACGACAGCAAAGTCCAAGTGTACAAAAAGCTCGAGCCAATCTGGGAAGACAAGAAGATCCGAAAGAAGGCGGGACCCGGTCAGAGATGGGATCAAAGTAACACTGTCCTTGTTGACGACAGCCATCTCAAAGGCTTAGGGCAACCCCATAATCTGTTGCAGATTCCGGAGTTTCTGAACAATGCACCCAGAGAAGGGGGACAAGCGCTCTTGAACTGGCAGCGGGAACAGGAGCAGATCGTTTATTCTATCCAGCAGAAGTTGGAAGAACTCAAATGGCAGGTCGATGTCTCCCGAACAATTCGAGAGTGGCAGACTGGTAAGCGACAAGCACCTGGCGTGGTCGACGAGACAGTAGATCAAAAGGCCCTTCAAGTTACTCAGAACCGTGAGCTGTCTCCTACGCCGAGTATCGCTTCTTCTGCCCCGAGTGTCGGGCAGCTTGAATCTTCAATTCCGCAGCAACTCGGAGCTCCTGAGGCTTCAACTCTATCTGACACAGAGAGCTCCGATACGTACGACCAAGGTGGAGGGAGTGGAGGGGTCAAAACGCCTGCTGAGGCCACCAATTCTCTTCTAGATGAACTGGAAAAAGAGATTGATCGCAATCTCAATCTCGATCAGGACCGGAGCCGAGGTGCAGACCAGACCATTGGTCCTGCGACCGATGTCACTACTGCCAGTAGATCGAGCGTCAAAGACCGAGATCAACGGCGAAGTGAGTCGCCGATCGATGAGAGTGTCTGGGCTGATATTCTCAGTGGACACGGAGCCGCTGCCGGTCGTGTCGGCGAAAGTGGTCAAAAGACGACGCATGCGAGAAATCCGAGCAACCGCGAAGAAAAGACACAAGGAAAAACAGCGAGCGGGGGAAAACGCCAACGCCAACGCAAGAAGAGGGGCCCCCCAAGGGAAGAAAAAGAGTCTCTGAGACATGCCCCGCCAACGCCAGAGAGTATTTGATGTCGGAAATAACGATAGGGGTCTCGAAGTGACGATGGTCGATGTCGAGCTTTTCGATCCCCCATTTTAAAGATATGTCTTGACGTCGGAGGGGTCTGAAGCTTTCAACCGAATGTGATATTGCTTTTCGCCACAGCGAGGATGGGATGCCTTGTCAGAAACCGAAAGGAAACCATACTTCATAGGGCGAAGAAGGTTATTCAAGACACCTTTGACGGAGTGCGGCCTCGGACAAAATGGCTTGATGGCTCCGACCTGTACCAGCACGGTCCTGCACCGCGCATATGCTGCGTCATTATTACCATCCTCAACAATATCAACGCACTCGTGCTTGAACCGGTTTAATAAAAAGGACGGTCGAGTCATCGTGCGATGCCAGATCGACGGATCATCCCATGACGAGTGGACTTGTGTCAATACTTAACCTGCTTGCTGGCTTGCACGCTTTTTTGTTCGGGTAGACAGCTTGAGCTGAGCGGCGTACCACCGAGCTGGACTTTGGGTCCAATTCGCACTGCTCAGTCTGCAAGATCAGAAATAAATGAGAAAAGGAGACATTACAGGAAAACTTCCATGTTGCCATGGCTATGAATGGTGTTCCCAAGTCGCAGATTCATGTGCAAAGGTAGCTATCAAAATTCATCAAGCTGCATCTAGTCGGAACCTCCAGATATCAACCCCTTTCTACCCTTGACCCCAGCTTTAGTTCCCTGTCACATGAAGATGAGCGCGTTTCTGCCGTCTACTAGGCTAGTGGAGTGCCCACCTGTCTTGTATACCGCAGTTTGGCAGACTGCGAGCGAATTCTTGTTCAGCAACCACACCTGTCCCATTACCGTCAAATACCCTTGACACCATTCGGCAGCTTCTCCCAGCCCGCCTCTGCTTCAGCCTTCTTCTGTTGTGCCTCGTTGACGAAGCCATGAATCTCCAGCGCTTGAGCCTCCAAACCCGCCGCGACGTGCATCCACATTGGTTGTCCCCATTTCTTGGTTTGAATGCTGGCAGCCCTGGCGCATTTCATGGCTTGCTCATCTACCACACCTTTGTACAGCTGGTCTTGCATGTATATGAGAGCCAAGGCCGTAGTAAGAGCGCTGCCAATTACTTTGCTTTCGTCCATAGATCTTTTTAGAAATTGCTTCTCTGCGAGTCTATTCGTAGATAGAATGGACTCAAGAAGCGAAAAATGTGCTTTGATGTATCGGTTTCCGCAATTCCGGATAGCCGATTCCAAACTCTTAGTTAGGGATGATAAGCGGCTGTGCTGCGGATGGGTTGGATTATGGATGATCAAGGCGGAATTGATCGCCGCAAGGATGGAGAAGTTGCGAGTTATATCAGAGTCTGCGTAGTAAGAGTTTAATATCTTGTTCGAGGCTTCGGGTCGAGTTGATGTGGGGGCGTGCTGTGAATCGAAACTGAGAAGAGGCGACTGATAGACCTGAAGCGCACCTTTCAGATCTCCGGTCCCTTGCAATATGACTCCTCGGAGATACAGAAGACTGTGTTTCATGTTGACTGGGAAGGCGTCGCCAATGTCCTCCGAAATTGCATGGACTTTTGCTAATGAGCTGTTTGCCGCCTCCCAAAGGCCTTTCGAGCATTGCATTGGGATGAGAAGCAACAAGAATTCGGCTTCCAGCAGCCTCTGACAGATGAACTCTCTTCTGGACTGTCGGTATCCTGTTCTGAGGGAGGGATTTCCCAAAGCTCGAACCAAAGCTACGCCGCTTTCTACAAACTTCTGAGCTTTGCCCCCGTCAGCCCCGTTCTTGTAAGCCGAACTCTCTGCTGACAACAAAAACCCCAAAGCCTCTGTTGTCTCCTTTCCCAACCACGAGAAAGGCAGATAATACTTTCCATTTCTTTCGATGACATGTCTGTTTCCATGGAGTTGCATGTCGGCTACTGCCCGCGCGGCGACTGGAACGTAGATCAAGCCATCTTCTCTCCAATTGGGATGGCTTACCGCTTGATACAAGACCTCATGCACGATCTTGCGTTTTCTTTCGGTTTGGGCAATGTCGGCTGCTCGAACGCTGCAGGCAAGGTCAACATACTCCATGAGGATGGTCAGTTGTGGGACTGCTTCGACATCTGGACTCAATTGCAGAGCCCGAGCCTTCGCCAGCGCCATCTGACTAGCTGTGACGGCTTCGTGACTTGAACTGGCTAGATGCAGCAGAGCTTCAAGCGTAGCGGCAAATGCAAGGATTGCACTGTCGGAATTTTGATGAGCTAAGTTCGTGATCTTCTCTAACTGAACGATGGCGCTGTGCATCTCGCCTGGAGCGCTGGAAGCCAACGAAAACATTGCGTGCTGGAAACGAAAGATGTACAACCAGACCGTATGACGATAGGCTTCGATGTCCTCAATTATTCTCTGGATATCTCGCAGTGCAGCTTTGGGTTTCGATTCATAAAGCACCTTGGACAAGAGAAGTTGCATCTCGTACTTCAGATCGATAAATTTGTGTCGCTCGCACAGCTCTATGGCCTTGGCCAAGACCATTTCAGCATCATCATAGTTCTCGGTCTCCGCATACAGAACCTCCGCATAGCGTAGAGAGACCTGTGCTTCTCTCAAAGGAGGCAGTTTGAAATTGGAGAGCACTGATTCAAGACAGCCAAGAGCGGTGGCTATCAGAGTGTAATATACTTCAGTCGGCGCAGGCTGCTTGCGGGCGGCTTCGAGATAGTCGTCGGCAAGGACACATAAAAGAGAATGGTACTCTGGCTCTGGTTCGTCGGGCTCGGCTGGGGAGTCTGGGAGATTGGGTGCTTTTGTGGCTCGCTGTTTGCGGGTTGCATTGATTTCAACGGCCTGGAGGACACGGGGTTTATTCTGTCGAGGCATATTTGGAGTGATTGGAGTGCTCCCGGTCGCTTCGTGCCTCTCCTTTTTCTTCGGAGAGGAGGCCGTGGTACTGGCGGATTTTGGCAGGTCAGGCGATTGAGATTGTTGTCCTAGGTATTGCTGAGGCGGCTGCGGCTCATGTTGAGATAGTTGATAGTGGTTTGGAGTGTTCTGATAGGTGGGGGACTGTTTTCGGACTTGGGATTTGGGTTGGTGGCTTACTCGAGGAGTTTGCTGGCCTTGCCGTGGGTGTGGAGAGGAGGAGTGAACGGAACGGTGAGGATTCGAGACTTGGACGGTGTCAGGAACTATTTGGGAAGGTTGCTGGCCTCGGTGTGGTTGCACGGCGGAAGACTGAATGGGATGACCAGAAGGCGAGACTAGGATGGTGTCAGGACCAGGATGGGCCAGTTGCTGTGGCTGAAACTGAGCTGGCTGTTGATAGAATGGTTTTTGGAACTGCTGCAATTGAGGTTGATAGCGCTGATCATATTCTCGGTTATGGGAGTACTGAGGGTTGTTCCGCAGGACAGGTTGAGGATGAGATGACCGGTAGTGAGACTGTGCTTGGGGATGTGGAGGTTGCTGAGATGGAGGCTGGGGGAAGGTATTGGCGTTGGGGCCGTAGAAGAAACCAGGATTGAGGTCGAAGTTGGTGTGGGTGTTATTGGTGTAGTAGGGGAAGTTGGGATCCATGGTGAAGGTGAAGCGAAGGGAAAGCGAAGATGAAGTAAAGGTGAATTAAAGGTGAAGGTAAAGGTGAAGGTAAAGGTGAAGGTAAAGGTGAAGGTAAAGGTGAAGGTAAAGGTGAAGGTAAAGGTGAAGGTAAAGGTGAAGTAAAGGTGAAGTAAAGGTGAAGTGAAGGTGAAGATGGCCGATGCGCACGAGGTGGCCGTCGTCGCCTCCCCTAATCCTCACTTTACAATCAGACAAGAACGCCGTAACAATCGTTTGGTTCATCAATTCTTCTTTCCTTCATAAATCCCATGCGCTTCTCCAGACCTCTGCCATGAGCTCAGTCTGATGATAGCAAACAGTTCTTGTCTCTCGCGCGCCTAAAGTCGGATGAATTGTGTTGAAGCCTTTATCAACCACGTCCTGCGAGACCGATCACCTTTGCATGCCTTCGTTCTTGATGTCATCGACTGCTCTCACCCAGCATATCGCAGCTCCAAAAGAGGGACAAGAGTCTAAACCACCTGGGGCGTTGGTAGAAGAGGATATGTAAGGACTGTGAAGATGAAAAAAGAAACCTGGCGAGCCACCGCAAGGGCCTCACTAGCCCTTCCTAGTCTTAGGCATGGACGAGGGAAAGTCGGCATCGTACATCCGGCCGCTTGGCTGCGCATCATCCTCCATGGACCCGGCGACGCCGCCACCCAACTGTGTCCTGCACGCACGTCAACAGACATGTGTCCCTTAAGATACCCACGGCTGTCCTCGGCCCTATTATGAGATGGAAATAGATCCGACCATTTGTCTGGACTAGAGGAACATGATCACCCACGGCATGGTGTCGTTGCTGAAGCAGGCAGAAGATTACCCATTTTTCACACTGGTCGGGTTCACTCTCGTCGCGACATTGGCTGTGTTTCCTGCTGGGAGACTCGGGATGGTCAATCCGAAATACTGGCACTCGACCAAATCCCTGGTATTGAAGACGAAAGATGGTCGATCTACCTCCTTTGCTGATCTGTGTAAATCTCTCATTCCACCATGCCGACTCAATCCGTTTCTATTCAACGGCCATCTTCAGACCATCTGGACCGTCTTGACCCGACAGTCTGTGCCTATCTACTACAAGCGAAGAATCTTTGAAAATGAAGACCCAATCTTCACTGGTCAATTCTCGGTGGATTTCGTAACGTCTCCCAACAACGATTCCGACCCGGATTTACCGTCGCGCACTACATACTTTACAGAACAGGAGTTCCGGAATATTGGCTCTCTGGACAGTCGCCCGATGCTGGTAATGCTCCATGGATTGAGCGGAGGCTCCCACGAGCTCTACCTTCGCCACGTACTGGCGCCTTTGATTGGAGAGGGAGGATGGGAGGCTTGTGTCGTCATTTCTAGAGGTTGTGCCATGACCAAAATCACCACCAGCGTGCTGTACAACGCGCGCGCGACCTGGGACATGAAGCAGACGGTCAAATGGCTGAGAAAGACCTTCCCCAATCGCCCACTCTTTGGAATGGGATTCTCTCTGGGTGCTAACATCATCACGAACGTGAGTCCTGGCTCCACCGTTACGTGCCGGTCCATTGTCCCTTCTAATCTGCTCCAGTATCTCGGTGAAGAAGGTAGTGATTGCCCCCTCAAGGCAGCCATTATTCTGTCCAACCCATGGGATCTCGCTGCTGCAAATCTAGCACTGCAGAGAACGTGGTTCCACAGAAACGCCTATTCCGCCAGCATGGGTCAGAGCATGAAGAAGCTCTTCGAGACGCATGTGGATCAGATCTCCCAGAACCCCAAAATTGACGTCGACCTCGTCCGAAAGGTCAAGTATCTTCATGAGTTCGATCGATACGTCCAAGGTCCCACATGGGGTTATCCCACCGAAGGGGCATATTACCGCGATGCATCTTCGGTTGATTCGTTATTGTCCATCAGGATTCCCTTCCTGGCAATCCATGCTGAAGATGATCCGGTCGGTTCTATGCGTTTGCTGTTGTCAAGTACAAAAGCTGATCGGGGATAGGTGACCGCTAGTGAAGCGCTGCCGCGGGAAGAAGTACAACAGACTCCGTATGGGGTGCTCTGTACCACTCCGGGCGGGGGCCATTTGAGTTGGTTCGAGCTTGGTGGCAGGCGATGGTTCGAACGAGTGGTGCGTATCCTCCTAGATTGATCGTTTGTGACGAGGCCTTTTCACTGACATTCGGGTTCACTCAGACCACAGCATTCTTCCAAAGCATGGCCAACGACATCGACTTGGACACGATTTCGAAGACGGATGGCAATGGCGCTCAACTCGAGGGTCAAATCTCTCGCGGCGAACGACAGCCGCTAAAACCGGTCTTCGAGCCGATGCGGAGAAAGATGCATGTACCAAGATTTTGAAGTTTCCCTTTGACATCGCCATGGTGTAGATACTAGACACCATAGAGAGCCAGGCATGACGTAGAAAACATAGAATCGCCTGGTGGACTCATGTCGCTCACGCAAACGAGACCCTCTTCTTCGTCTTGCTCTTGCCCTCTCCATTTCGTTCTCTTTCATTCTCCTTTTCCTGGGGTTTAGTTTTCTTGTTCCCTTTCTTCAACCCTTTCTTGACTCCTTCCAGCTCCTCTCTCTTGCTCTCTTTCCACTTCTCCATCTCCTTCCTCCTGGCCTCTCTGATCTCCTCCATCTGCCTGGCCTTGATCAACTTACTCTCGATCTGCCCCTCCTTCTCGGCATTCACCATGGCCAATATTGTGCGCATGGACTCTTCGTCGTCAATGTAGATTTTATTCTTCTTCTTCCCGGTCCCTCCTCTTCGCGAGTGGTTGGTGGGGTTTTCGGGGGCAGACACCGGGGTTATCATGTTCAAAGCCGGGAGATTGAGGTCTTTGTCGGTGTATGTCTTTTGATGGCGCTTGCTTGGCTTTGTGGCCTGTGCAGATGTCTGGGAGTGCACGCCTGGCCGCGTTTTGACCTGCTTTGGCGGTGGGCGTTTTGTGATTTTCGACTTCTTTGAAGACGGTGCTGCGGTAGCGGATTTGTGGGCTTTGGTATTTCTTTTCGTGGTTGCCTTTGAACTTGAAGCGGGTTTGGGCGCCATTTCTGGGAAGTAGCTCTCTCCCTCGACCGTAGCTGAGCTGGAATTGCGACAGACAGCATGAGAGAAGTCTCAAGGCGCTTGTTTGGGTTTTGACGCTTGTGAGAAAAGAATTGACCGACGATTTGCCGGCCCACTGCGAGGCTGCAAGACAGCAAGACAGCAAGACTGGTGCCACCGTCCGCAAAATCAACGTCATCATTGGATGGTCCAGTGCGGAGAACGGAAGCAAGAGCTTCATCGCTCACACGACCATCACCTCACCATACTCGTTTTCAGTATCTTTCTCTGTTGCCGGTACATTCGTGTCTATTTTGTGCTTCTTTCGCCCCATCTTAAAGTGTTAGATTCATTTCGTCGCGAACCAGGCTACACTCGAAGACGAAAGGCGATCTCCCCGCCAGAAGCCACTCCAAGTCCTCCGCAGACAGAGACACTCTCACTCCCCTCCCTATCTCGCACCTGAAAACAACCCACAATGCCGCCTCCCTCACACATAACCGACCCGCTCCCTCCTCCCCAACTCACCCAAGTCGCGGCGCAAGGCTTCGCCTCGGGGGCGCTACGATTCGGCACCATCAGCTTCGCATCTCACTTCCTCCTGAACCGCTACACGCCGCTGTACCGCGGGCTGACGGTGCAGTATAAGGTGTTTCTGCAGATCAGCGCGATGATACTGGGCGGGTGCATTTTCGCGGAGAAGCGCGTGGGCGAGTTCAACGAGGAGGTCAGGCGGCGGCGCAGGGCGCTGGACCGCAGTCGTCGCGCGTGGGAGGAGGAGAGGGAGATCAGGGAGATGGTGGAGCAGCGGATCGCGGCCGAGGAACGGAGTCAGAAGGGTGCGGGTCAGGACAAGAGCAATAGCGTGGGCGGGAAGTAGAGCTCTCTATCTCTACATGGCTTTGATAGGGGAGAGGAAGAGAAGTAGGGAAAGAGGAAAGGAAGGAGGGAGAGACTCTGGGTCATCTGAAGCGGATGGCTCAGTCTTCACTATCATTTTGGTACGCGAACGAAATTCCCCAATGCGACCTTGGGTCTGCACGTCAACATGACCGTCAGCATTTCTACCGAGCGAATGCGGATCAGAGACCCCCCTCCCCCTTCGCCTGCGACAATATAGGGCGACGACCTCTATCGGCCTGGTATCCCGACGGCTAAGACCAGAAAGTCGCATGAAGTTACCCTCATAATCTCCGCCCGAGTACAACAAGTATGAGTACCTCGTACTCGGGGCGCCGGTCTCGATCGGGATCATCTCAGCTCACATCCACACTCACAAAACTCCTCGTGCGCCCTTGGTCCATCCCGCGCTGAGAAATGCCCCCCGCGACGACAGGAGATGCGCGAGCAGCGACCTGTCAACGGCTGAGCCTGACTTGCACCAAGTCTGTGCCGTTCTGGACGTGATCACTCGACGGAGAACCGGGGGGCTGGGTGTTTTCTCAACTTTGTACAACATTATATATAAGGGAAGGGGGAAAAAAAAAGGAAACAAAGTAACTTTCCAGCGAGAATCCCACGTAGACTCTGGAATTTGCACACTCGCCAATCAACCAATTAATCAATCAATCAATCTATGTGTCAATCTATTTATTTATTATCTGTCTGTCTGTCTATCTGCCTGTCAACTATTCTCATCAGCTTCAACGGTGGTCGTGCTCTTCAGCATGCCCTGGCGTTCATGCTCCGAGGCTGGTGGTCCTTCCTCAGCGACGGGGCTCGGACTCTCAGTCTCGGTCTTTTGCATTACCGGCGTGTACCTCTTCCGGCGCGCGAGGAAGTAAACCGCTGCGCCCGCGATGATCGCTAGGATGGGAACGCCGAGGCCGACGGACAGGCCGATGATGAGCGGCTTGTGGTCTTCATGGCCGCCGTGGCCTCCTGCAGCAGTGGCGCTGGAGGCGCTTGATGATGTTGAAGAAGATGGCGGCGGCGGCGGCGGCGGCGGCACAAAGGAGACGGGACGACCTGTCGTTGCAGCTAGGGCTTTGGCATTGGAGCCGAAGGCGACGGTCTTAATGGGCGTCTGAGTCGTTGCAGGCCAGGTTGCCTCCGAACCAGACGGCACCGAGGTGGTCGACGTCAGGGTCGCCGTGAATGTCTTTGTTGTCTGAAGAGAGACGGGGCAGTTGATCAAGCCGGGCGATTTGCAAGCTACTCCAAACGACGTCGTCTCGGTCGTGATTGTCGCGACTGTGAGAGACAGGTCGCTTGTCACGGCCCTCGCTGTGACGAGTGCAGATGTTCCACTTGTCGAGCTGCTCCGCCCAGCCGCACAGGCAGAGCCGAGTTCGGTATACCAGATAGGAACTTGTGTCTCGGGCGTTGGTCCCCATGTAGTCTGGTCAAACGCTGCCGATGCGCCAGCGGCCGCACCGAGTGCCATGGTGAACGACTCGACGAGTGCCAGCTCGCAGTCATCATTACTGCTGTCATACGTGACGTTGGCCACGAACTCGGCAATGTTGGCAAAGACTCCTGCTTCCAAGCCGGCTGAGGCACCGAGCGTGTGGTTCGCTATTGTGACGGATGTGTCGACACCGAAGGTGATGCCGGCATGAAGACCAACTCGTAGAGCTCCTGTGAGCACAAAGCCAGCGCCCTCGACGTTCACGGGGAGGAATTCAAACATTCCACCGTCACTAGAAAGCGGCTGTATTAGTAGGAGTTGCTGTCTTTCGGTGAAATCCTTCTTACAGTGTTATGCTTTCGACAGTCTTGTTGAACATCTGCAAATCAATGCCAGCTCCATCGACCTTGATGTGCACACCGCCGCTGATGTCCACTTCTGCGGCGGCAGTCAGGATGAGGTCGACAGTAAAGAACGCGCCAATCTCGAGAGAATCGCCCAGACTGAGGCCCGCCGGGGTCTCCGATGTGTATAAATTGATCGTGTAAGTCGATTCGACCGAGAGTACAGTGTCAAGCTTCATGTAGAGATCCAGGTTGTCAAAATTGAATTGTAAACGATAGTCAAAATCTTGGAAGGTGGGAAGCTCAACATTGAAATCGATGTCTGTGTAATTGGCATTGCCGTTTACCAGATCCGACAATGCCTGCTCGGCTTCCTCGGTAATGTTCTTGACCAAGTCTATGGCGCTCTCCTCGAGTTCAGTGACATTAAAATCGAGATTGCGGGTGAGTTGACCGGTAACTCGACCGGCGATGTAGCAGGTGGAACAAATAATCTGAACACCGTATTGGGTTTCGAGGGACCCATTCCCGGCTTTGGTCGATACGTCGTCTTCTGCCTCCATAGTGCTGTTAAGCCAGTCAGACATCTCCAGACGAGTGGCTTGCTCAAGGAAATGTAGTTGTTGTCCCTACATGGCAAGTAGCACCGCTCCGTCCCAACTTTTTCCGAGGGTCTCGTCGAAAAGAATCTTTGTTTCTTCTGTTCCTGACGCAGATAGGGCCCGACGCAGTGACCGCAGGGTCTCGGCCTCTGTCAGGCCCGCAGCATTGTAAGTATGGAATATGAGGTCTGAGTCTGGATACGCAGAGCTTAAAACAAGGTTGAGTGCCCATACAATAACCGCTAGATAATGATAGATCGACATTTCGCAAGATACAGGTCGCAAGGCTCAGAACCTCCTCTGGGTTCGTCCGGGAGTAGCATATGTGAACAGTCAAAGACCTGAGCAGACTCTGCAATGGTCGACTTTGTTATAGTGGGCAGCTCGATGTCTCAGCCTCTGGAAGGCGCTACCCTTGTATATCACGCCGCGGGGCTTTGCCGGAAACCAGAGCAGTCTTGAAGTTGGGAGGGACAGCGCCGCATTTTGGCCCCCAAATTGCTTCAAGCATACATATGCAGGTGGCAGGTTGGCGTTCTTTCAATCCCTAGTGTGAGAAATTGAAGCAGCCACAGGTACAAGTGGAGGAGACAGCCACTCCAAGTAGTGATGCAACGTGGAGTGTGCACAACAGGGAGAGGGACCCTCAGCCCGATATCAGTTCTCGCGTGCCATGTTAATTTGCCATAACAAGCTGAAATGACGCGCACAACGGAGAGGACATCTGCAGTGCGTAGTGAGGTGTCGAGGCCATGGCAGTCCCACGCGGTCAAGCAATCTGCAGACACATTCGAGAGCTGCCACTTCGGCATCGACCGCAGCGGCCAGGTGTGGACAAGACGGACAAAGTTCGGCTGTGCCCAGCAACTATTGTTGATGTCTTCAGATCATCTCGAATGGGATGCATCCAGTACATGGCTCACCTGAGGTCCGAAGCTAGGGCTTGGAACTGTGGTGCAGTAGCAGGCAGCTGGTCGCGACTGCTAGAGGCGAGTAGAGAGGCGAGTAGTTCTTTTGTTCAATGGCAGAAGGCTGTCTATGTCGCTATTCCTGCGCGTGTCCTCGCTAAGCCGCATACGGGGTAGTTGAATCCGAAACTGAACATGGGTGACATAATAGCCTCCTTTGAAAACGTGGATGGGGCTAAGCCTGGGGGCTGGAGAGGAGGATACCTAATAGAATTGTTACATGGTAGAACAAGAGGACATGGGGACCTTTGCCTATCTCGAGTTAGCATTGATACCAGGTCGTCTGAGCGTAGTCTGAGCCACTGCCGCAAAGGTCAGTTGCTCGATGACAAAGCCAGATATTTCACTGGGTATGTAGATGGCGGAGGGGAGACCAACGCGACAGTAAGGCGACATGCAAGTAAACAGAAGTGGTCAAACAGCCCCACGACAGTCTTTAATGCTTTACCTGTTGCAGCGTCTGTGTGAACTCGGGACGAGGTATACTTGTCAGGCGCCCCCCGGGGTATCGAGCAGTTGGCGCCCAATTTGCCCCGCAGCATTGAGAAGAAGGCGAGTTCGACCGCTGTCTGGGTGCCAGCTTTACAGAGACTGTGTTTGCCGCAGTCGTCGGCAAACTTGGGACGCAGCTTAGCCTCACTAGCCTCGGACATATGCCGACTCGTCGTGCATAAAAATATACCGCATTGATACAGAGAGCTGCTGGTCTCAACTATCGCCCGCCTGGGAGAGCCGTATGACAAGAGGCGATCCACTGAGGGAGTGGGTGCACATAATATATGTTCATGCATAATATGTTCGACAAAGCCGAGAGAATGCTCAACTATCTCGTATATACATCCCATTATCCTGGATCTCCATCCTGTATGGTAGACTGTTCTCTCCTTCCCAGTGTTCACCCACTTTTCCAAAAGAAAAAAAAAGGGTCTTATTACAATATCGTAAAGTCTGCCATCTATCACCCTGGCCTTGTCCAAAAGCAGAAAGAACAGGACACACCAGGTGAAGGCTAATGAATGCGTCATGGCGAATCTCATGTCCAATATCCGAAACTCGCTGTCCGCCGCATGCAGCCGTCCGTTTGACCATCTCAAAATATAGACAGCCCTTTTTCTTTCTCGCCTGAACGCCTTCGCTCGCAAAGTTCCACGCAGTTGTATGCCAACCAATGATCGGCCGTATGGCTTCGTTGGGTTCCCAAAGACTGTGCTCCAGAAGCCGAATGGTGCAGTTTCGCGCGTAGAGGATGTTGACTCGCGTTCACATCCACGACTGCAACAGGTCATGCATCATGCTGCGCGACCAACTCATATGTTTGCTTCTTCGATCCCAATCCACCAGCCCACATCCGCCAAAGGGGCATCTTCGCAGCAACAGGGAATCTGAACGCAACAACTCGCGGACTGCCCCTAGCAGTTCTCTTCCTCGCACTCCAAATGAGCAGCCTCGAGTAGATGAACCACGTCACAAAGCCGACGGTGAGGACGAGGAGGAATCCCAGCACCGTCAGCAACATCCAATTCTTGCCCATCCAGAAGATCAACCTGGCGTCTTTGCCGTGCCAGCTTGAGCCTTTGTAAGTCTCGAAAAACGACCACGAATGCTTGTTATACTCGTCCGGCATGAGCACTCTGACCCTGCCGATCCAAGTCTGAGGGTCGAGGTGAGCGTGTTCACCCATCCACTTCTTCCAAATCACACTCAGGAACAGCGGGCCGGTGGAGGCCATGATGGTGATGTACGGTAGGATCCATGACTTGTTGGCACCCTGAAGGGACTCCATGACTCTCAAGAAGAAAGGATGCTGCGGAATCGAGCCCATGACGTCGTTACTGATCCCTGTCGGGACGGTCCTCCGCACAAAGGCCGTGTAAGACAACAGCGGGTCAAGCCTCCTCTTGCAACCGTCGTCCAGGTCAATGTACACGCCGCCATAGTGTGCCAGCACAAAATATCGAATCGCATCGGCGCGTTGAATGTTGTGTCTATACCCGACAAACGTCGATAGAAACCACGGATACTCCTTGGCAATGAAGTCGTGAGATTTTCGGTCCGTCCACAATATGTACTCGTAGTCCGGATGTAGATCTATACACGATTTCTGAGCCGGAACCCAGTGGGCAGGGATGGATTCGTTGATGTATGTCTGATGAATGATCTTGGGGATCAAGTGCGGACGGTTTTCGAGGAGCGTAGAGTTGGGAGCGGGCAGTTCCGATCTGTGGATGGCATCCCGAGACGCGTCTTCAATGAGCAAAGAGAGCAGGGTCGAGACCGAGTGTAAGAGGAGGGTCAACACTATGACGGCGACAAGGAGGAACACCAGTAGACTGCGCCGCATCTTGACCAGGCCCGATGAGGAGGACGGGGGGCGAGATAGGACCGTCGTTAGCAGTCTCATCCAAGTCGCGCCAGGGCCGGGTGCTTGGTTGAGAATATGATCTGCTAGAGGAGGCACACGACACTCTGCGTGTCTGTCAAAGGTTCTCCCCGTGGGTAGAGGCCGTGGCAGCTTTAAGGAGTGCAGAGCTCTGGGCGGCGGAGCAGCATTGTTCGCCCGCAGGCGTTATCGGGGACGGAGGTCAAGGTCGGGGTGGGAGTTCAAGTACACAATTCTAGGGGGTTTGTCAAGGAGAGACTATGGAGCAAGGAGTGAACCGTAGGCCTAGCGTACGATGATGTCGACCAAGGAAATAAAACGAGAGAAAAGAAGTTGGCTTTGTACGGTGCTCAAGAGGGAGGGAGGGAGAGAAGTGAGAGGGAAATTCTTCTTGCGGCGGCGTGCCTGTTGCAGGCAAAGCGCAGGGATCATGCGTATACGAGCCAATCGAGCTTCATCTCCCCAAGGCGGAGATTGTGGCAGTGCCTGCAGCATCCCTCTCTCGATCAATCACCTCGTCGCTATGACACCCTCACACGCAATGCTCGTATGTCCTCGGTATGTACACTCATCACTTTTTCTCCCATCATGATGGCCACCATAAGCACACGTCCCTAATCAAGCCGATCCTGAGTGTCTTCTGCCTGCGCCCCCGAGCGATATAACGGCGACCGACTCGCTTCTCACCCCTTCGTACTCCGTATACCAGAGATTCCCCCGAAGCCATCTAACGGCTATTCGAGCAGCCTAGTGCGGATCTCGGATTGCTCCTGCTCCAATACGCATTCCCACGTTCCTCGTCTCGCACAGATCGCACCAACCACCACTCTCCTCGGTCCATTGGTGTGCACACCGAGTACATAGGTCTGCAAACTCGCTGTCAACGCCCGCTGTGACGGACCCTGAGCTTTGGCTATGGAAAAAGAGTGTACGTACAAGTCCTCCGTAAAGGGATGGAAACCCGTGATCAAACAGCAGGACAGGCTGAGGACTACCCTTGCTTCCGCCCACCCCGCGCCGCGCCAAATCTCCTTCTCAACTGGTACGGAGTAACAAAGAGGCCTTAAAGTGCTGACTCCCGGATGATTAACATGCACTCATCTCAAAACAGAATCTCTTTCGATTCGCCGGGTGCCCGAGAATGGAATATCAAGAAAGGTTTAGTACTCACATTCTTCTTCACGCTCGGAGAAGAGATTTTGATTATTTTGTTGCACAATGGCTCGCAAGCGAATACGCCCGCGGCCGTAAGGCTCGTCAGTACGCACTTCAGACAGTCATCTTGGGAGATTGGCCCGAAGACTCGGTTGTGCGTCAGGCATCGCTTTGTACAGAAACGGTATCAGGCTGCGGTCCCCACCCAATCTTCAGGCGGTTGGTCAGCTCTCACAACATGTTTGTGCTGCATGATTTGCAGGTTCAGGTGGCATTCCAAGTTGCCCCTGAGGCCAGTGGGCCTTGTGAGGCTGAGGCTGACCCCTTTCTCGTGGCTTTTTGGTGGCCAAATACCGAATATTTTGGGAAATGCCCCTTTCTCCCAAACCCGAACAAATCCGCATAATGTTTATACAACCAATATGCAACAGACATTATCATTGCGCGGGGTTTGTGCCCGGTCCCGTCCTTCGTCATTCATTGTACTCCTTTAGCTATGATATGCGCCACTGCTTTGCGTCTTCCCCCCTCCCTCCCTCCCCGAGAAATCAATATGCTAACCCCAAAGCAAAATTGGTGGGTATCACGAGAAAAATAAAAACATTATCATCAATGAGCCTCCAGCCTCGAGCTTCCCGGAGCCTCTGTCTGTACAGGCAGGTCACCCTCTAATCTTTTGTCTTGGTGGGATCCGGCTTTCCCCGACTCAAGGGGCATCAGTCCTCTGGCATTTGGAATATCATCTGGCTGTTACTGTCTCTTCCCAGTTTCTCATCAATGTAGTCCAAGGCATCTGGGTGTGCTGCCGTCGGCGTTCTGTCGAGCTTGACGCGCTGCAAAATCTGCGCTATCGAAGAGTCTCCCGTTGCCGTGGTTTGGCGGCTGTCCTCGTCACCTGCACCGTCTTCCCATGGCACACCCTGTGCGCGACAATAATTGCGAAACAGGTATTTTTGCATCCTGGACACTTGTATATTCCACTTTTCGTCCAAGGTGCTCATCACTGCCGCCACGTCTTGATTGGTAAATGAGGCTGTGGAAGACATGGAGCTACTGTGCCGATGTCCGTGTCCTTTCCCATGTGGTTTCCCAGTCAAGGTTCCGGCAAAGGCTTTCTTAATCGCCCCGCCACCACTCTTGGGAACCTTGGGACTGTCCGCACGTTCCATTGTCTCGATCTCGCGGCGAACTTTGTCCATCGACCTCGCCCTGTCATGGTCCATGGTCGACATGTACAGCAACGTGTGATTCTTCTCGAGTGCATTGACAAGCGCCGTGAAGCTTTGGAGGTTGATGTCGTTGTGCTCGCAATGAATTTCCACCAACGAGTCGTTCCTCTCTAGCACCTCAGCTAACGTGTTTGCCCCTTGCAGACCCAGCGCCTGATATTCGATGCGCAGGAGCTTCAACGAAGTGTTCTTTTCCAACCCTCTCAGAGCAATATTGAGGCCGATGCCGAACCTGGTGGTGTCCAAATGCGCATGTTCGCCGCTGATGTCAAGCTCCTCCAAGGTCCGGTTTGTGGCAAACATCTCCTTCAGCGCCTCACAGGTTTCAACGCTGGCATCGTATGGGAGGGATGCACGTGATATGTCCAAACTTCGTAACGTCGTATTTACTTTCAGAGCGTTGATCAATTCGCGAAAGTGGTTTTCTTTCTCAAAATCCATCATTCGCAAGCTCAGCGAGGATGGCCCACAGTTTTGAGCAATAGTCCTGAACAGCACGGTGTTGCCTGTCTTTAGCCGGTTCTCGTTGGCGCTTACGTGCATCATTCTGGTCTGCATGTCGTCACGAGTCATGGAACGGAAGAAGGTCGCAAGATCATATCCCGTCAAGCCACATTGATTGACGTGTAGCTCTCGGAGGATATCGGACTTTGGTGTTGCCAGATAAGTAGATATCGAGTCTACTGTCTGTTCATTGAGAGTGGTTTGTGACAAATATAAGGCCTCGAGTCTCCAGGCCAAAAGCACCTCGGGCGGAAGTAAAGGCTCTGAACCAGCCGTCTTCTGCACTCGAGTAAGATTCAAGCGCCGAATTCGAGTAAAAGCGCCCATGCCACGCTGAAATAGCTCCGGACTAAAGCGACCTTGCGCCCCTGATATGTCAATGACCTCGACAGTGCTTTCCTGGACAGCCAAAGCGGACAAAAGCACGTCAATGTCGTGGACTGAGAGGCCACACTCGCCAATTTCAAGGGCTCTAAGATGGCATTTTCTTTCCGAGGCTGCGTCAACGAGGTAGTTCAGGTCCGAATCTGCTAGTCGCAGGCCTGTAAGCACAATCCAATCGACATTCGTCAAGGACCTCTTGCACAGTGGCGTAAGGGCCTCCAGAATTCCACAATCCAAGGTCTCCCCATCTCCCGCCAGCGTCTGATGAGGAATTGTATGCGAAAAGTCTAGCCGTCTCAATCGCCGGCTTTTCAACGCCAATACTCTGATCTCCTGAGACAGAACGGGCAGATCTTGGTGGCCAGCGATATTGGTAGGATTTCCAGACCGTGTGAACAGACTATCCAAGTCCGATCCGAACCCGTCGTAATAGAGACGTAGCGGTAACAGATTGATTCGGGCGAAGGAAATTGATGAGAAGGACTCATTGTAGCGTAAGGCTCGAAACACAGCAAGTAATTCCAAGGCGGAATAAGTGGTACCGTTTGATGGTGGCAGCAATTGAAAGCGTGGTGCATCTTCACAATCATAGTCCACAGAATAACAGATACGAGATGTGTCAACGTCATAACCTGCACAGTACGCAATCAATGTCCGATCAAAGCAATCATGATCCTCTTTTGGAAAATTCGGTGGGATCATCTGATCGTCGATTTCAGGAGGGACGTCGAAGATAAAAGGCTGCCTAAGCCATTCGGGTCGTAGGTATTCCGAAGCAGATCTCAGCCAGAGTGCGATTTCACCACCGGAACACGAAGCTAGTTGTACCATGCACGGATTTGCCATAGGTGGTTTGAAGGTCAATTGAAACGCGTCGTCGTCCGCCACGACCCTGATCGAAGTCAAATTGACGATGGCATAGCAAGTCATGCCGTCCAGCTCGCTGAGAGACGTGCTCGACGATCGTGTGGAAGATTTCTGAAGAGGCACCAGGTGGATTTTGTGCAAGCCAATCACGAGGTAACAGGTTGTTGAGGACCCCAGTCTGGTCAGATCTTCAGCTGATGCCCTTCCTGTTGACTTGTTGATAAACCGTTGAACAACTTTAAAGATATGAAAATGTTCAGGATCATAGTCTCTCTCCCGTTCCAAGACACGCGCAAGATGCTCTACTGTTCGATCTTGGATCTGCTGCTGGACTAGAGACCTCGCCTGATTACAAGCTGAACGAATGGCAGCAATCCACAGCTCGGCTTCGCGCATCTCGTTCAACTGTAACTGCATGGCGGACGCTCTTCTTGCGCGTTCATCAAAGTATGCCACTTCCACCACGGGAGAGGGCCGTCCATCGTCGATTTTGTACACCGCCACCACCTGCTCGAGTGGGACGCCTGAGGTGATGTCCGAATACGTTGACATTTGGAGTTCTTGATAGGAACTCACAGACGAAGTTCTCGGGGTGTGCCCCTTGTTGAGGCTGTTGGGGATGCTAGGAAACATTTCAGCGGCTTTGATTTGGCTCCTGAATCGAATGAGGTGTGACTCGGTCAGGACCATGAACTGAGTCCGTTTCCTAAACATGTTGCTTCCACCTGCTTGCACTTCGCCATATTGGAGGACTTTGCTACCCAAGAGGCCCTTCACATTCATGTCGGATTCTTCCTGGAGAGATGAGGCTTTTGAGTCGGACCTCGTTAGAGCAAGCTTTTCTTCTTCATCGAGGGAATGTAACGAGCGCAAGGATCCAAACACCGAGGTTCGATTGGCTTTCTGTAACGTCCTGGGGCGAGGTTTGGGACTGGCTGGATCGGAGTCCACAGGACTGGGCAGGTAGTCACTGGAACGCTTCTCGAGCAACGGGCTTGCGGGTATTTGTATCGTGGGACTGTGATCCGCCTTTTGGCGGAAAATGCTCAGGCTTTTCCTTCTGCGTTTGTCTGCCATTTTGAATAAAGGTGGAAACAGACAGAGGCGGCCAATCGCTCGCCCCAAGCAAACACTGCACGACGCAGTTGGTGTCGAAGTCTGTCAGGGCTCAGGAAAAACTCATGGATCTCTCAAGGTACACATGTTCACAGGGACCGAGCACTTCCCCCCTTGCCAACCCGCCATTCAGTGTGCCCACCTCCTCTTTTCAGCGAGATCCTGTCGGCGTCCAGGACATGGCCGCAAACAGTGTTAAGCGCAGCATGTGACCTGGCCTTCCGAAGGAGGAGCAAAGGCAGATTGGGGAAGAGGTACTGTTTGTCGGACTGTGTTTCGTGTCTGGAACTTGGTGATGCTCGGCGAGCGATATATTTGAAGTGACAAGGTCAAGTTTGGGAGCTCATAGGACGCAGCAGGAGCGGAACTAGATTGACAGGTAGTACAAAGTATTCGGTCCAAGAGGACGATCATAAGATTGTGACGGTTGGGGGGCAGCTGGGAGATTCAACAGTGTACTCTGCAGAAGCAGAGAAATCCTGTCTGGTGATGGACCGGTCAATGCAGCACTCAGCAGTCAGAACCAAGGAATATTAAAAATGGACCAGGCGGTGGATCGGCAGTCGGACGTAATGGTTACTTCAATAACGGCTCGGTTGTTGACTGATAGACTCGTGGGTGACTCGGAGGGCTTGCGAGGCGGGTCAAACATCCACGGACGAACTGGTGGATGAGACGATGAGACTGGTGGACGCGCACATGGACTTGATAACACGGACTTTGGTCAGTCCACTCTGTCCACTCACATGCAGCGTGGAGGGACAGTTCCTACCTGCCTAGCTTCCTAGGTTTGCCAGGTATCCATCAAGCGCTCTCGCCATGCAGGGCTCTGGTCGGCACCTGGCGATCGAATGGCCGTGGCGGTGGTGGGAGGCTTGGAGGGTGGGATAAACAGGATAGACCAAGGATAATTTGGTAGAGTAGCTAGCGACCAACAAGGTAGGAGCAGAGATGCGCCGCGATTGGCGAGCACAGCCCGGAGCCCATCGAGCAACCTAAGTTCTGCTGCATTGCGCTGATGGCTTGAGATGGAGATTGCCGGACCACGCCACAGCGGCAATTCATCCAGGGTCCCGTCAGCCTTGGGACTCCTGGGCCCCCTTTTCTGCATTCTATCGTCGACAGCAGGTGCGGCGAAGAGGTCTCAGGAATGGGGCGGCTTTCGACATGAAGTGATGGACGGAGACTGGAAAGGAAGAATATAAAAGTATGACGGTTCCCCCTTTTTGTGCTGCGTGACTAACATCATTGTTGCTTAGAAGATCGATTCGCGGTCTTTCATGAGACATGTCTCTCGTCTATTCCCCATGTACTTGTATTACAACATAATCAATCCACACGCTCGCGCTGCCCAAAGGGGGGATTGCTTTTTGTAGTATACAGATAGATTATATATCATCGTTCATCCCCGTAAAGTACAACCCGTTTGCGTTGAGCATCAAGTTCGTCCAAATGACGCCGCCATTGTGCTCCGCTGCGACTCATCGATATCAGACGTCGAATATAGAAACTAGCTGCTTCGTCCGCATCCTGTGGGGCTTCCAGCGTAGCCTTGCGTCGGTTCTTGCACAATGTGTAATGCCGCCGGGCTTCGTGGTCGGATAGCGGCTTTAGTGTATACTGCAGCTTCCAGGTATCTCCTTCCTTCAGGTTTCCAGGTCGGACGACAGGCAATCCATTAACCAAATTCCGAATGTTCAGCTTCCAGGCCGATAATGGTTTCCGCATGGGAGGTTCCGCAACCGACCCATCGATATCGGGAGGATGACAATCTGACGCCCCTTGGCCTGGCTTCCCCCCTGACTGAGAAACACTACCTGCAATCGTTTTTGATCCCAAAGCCTCACTGATATTCATGCCTAAGATGCTGTCCAGGAATGCAACATTCGCGGCGTTCGAGCCATGAGATGGACCTGGGTTTGGATTCGACGCAGAGGGCGGTTTCACCGAGGCGTCGGATTCGTTGGCAGTTTCGGCGTCGTCAGGTTTGGCTTCAAGCTCAATCTCATCCTCATCCTGAGCGCCCTCGGGCCCTTGCGTCCGTCGTGGATTAAAGAGACGCTCCTCGAATGCTCGGATTTCTTCCTTTTTCAAATTTTGGATCTCAACAATCTCTTCCTCCGTAACTGGCTCCGCAAAAATGTACATGTAGGGAGGGGAGGCAGCCGTAGCCTCTCTGGCCTCAAAATGGAACCGAAGCGATTGACCTGGGTGCTTCATTGTCGCTTCGTTGAAAATGTCGTTCAAGAGCTGAATGCTGAGCGAGAATTCTTGGTCCCCCAGAATTCGGTTCGTCTGGCCGTGCAGCGCCAGATCAAGTTCCGAAACAGGTACGTATTGAAATCCAAACAGCCGTTCGGTATTATGGTACGCGACGAAGATGCCGTCCATGCGGCCCATCCGAACCTGGAGGGAGTATTTGAGAAAAGCAGATCTCATCATGTCGTAGTACTCTCGCTCATACGATTCCCATGTGCCGAACCTCTGTTTAATCTGATAGCCCGCACCTACTTCATGGTTGTGGACCATCATTCGGACAGCTGCTACCGCTCGAGTCTTGAGGTCAAACATGCCTGTTCCCGGCAGGCGAGGATCGTGTGCGTCGAGTTGAGAACGCAAGAGGAACTCGCCCAGCCCTGAATAGTGATATACCTCGGGCTCGGTGGTGGGCAACTGTGCATCTTTGGCCGCGTCCGTAGTCCTTCTATATCGCTCGAATTCATCCTTGTCGAGCGTCAGGAGCTTCTCCATAGAGCGGCCAAGACTCATGAGGATATTTGCAGAATCAAATTCTTTGTCTGCGTCCACGGCATATACACCATCTTTGTGCCGGAGAAATATGGCCGTGGGGCCTCTCTGCAGCCTGGTGAAGTGCACACCATCATCCTTAAAGCCTCGGGTCAAATTCTCCAAGTTGAGATTCCGAAAGGCCGAAAGAAGGAAATGGAAATGGGACAGGACTCCCGACATACTTGAAGTGGAACCGATATATCGCTTTGTGTGCTTCAAGGCCACTTCTCGAAGATGACTATCCTCAGAAGAAGTGATGTATTTATTCAATGCGTCGTAATTGAACTCGGACGCCGGCATAAGGGTTCCGAGATACGGATCAAAGTTCCATACTCTTGACCGTGGATCCTGTAATTGATAGACGCCCGGATTGAACAGCACACGCGACAAATCGTGGCTCAGCCTGGGCACATTTGTGGGCTCAGCTGTCAACGGTACCAGTGAGAACGTATCGCCCTTCACCTCTCGCACATTGTCCCCCTTCATGTCGGCAATTTTTGCCTTGTCCTTTTCTCGTGGTACAAGGTCATGTTTCTGGATAGTCTCTTGTTTTACTTTAGGTGCGATTTTCGCTGCACGGATTGTTTCCTCGCTATGGTCCTTGGCTGCAGGGGCAATTTCTTTTGGAGAGCTCAGTAGCTCTTTCGGAGTATCAATAATGAGGGCATGAGGTTCTGGAGCCATTGCGCCTTTTGGCTTTTCTGGTACTGGAGAGGCTTCTGCATGTTGACCAACACCATCTGAAACTCCACCACCATTCAGAAATCCTAGCGCAGTCAATATTCTCGCAGCCTCTTCGGAAAGAGGCTTCTTCCCGCTTTTAAAGGGCATGATAACCCCGAGATCACTGTCCACCTCTTCGTAGGAGTGTCCAGGGTATGCTGACCGAAGCTTCGATGCACCACGTTTGAACCCCTTCATTTTGCTCTTGAGGTTCAACCCGTCCAGCACCTGGTCTATGGTCAAGTCCTGGGTCCTCGATGCAACCTCTGGTATCAGTTTTGAAGCAACATGGCGCATTTTCGCCCTGAACATTGACAAAGCATAGAGCTCATCTTTCTGAGCTGCTGTCAACTTCAGAACACGATCTGCTCGTGACAGCAGCCGCGCGGCTACAGGCGCCTCCGCCGACAGGTCTTCCACCCCCTTTTTTTGAGCCAACTCTTTCCGGCCGCCATGGAGTTTCTTGCCTTTGGCATCCTCGCTATTCCCTTGTATAGACGTGTCATTTTTCTCTAAGCCTCCTGGTGCTATTTTCCGTGCACGGGGACGGTTCCGGAGATGTTGAACTCTGCTGGAGCAGAATGGTCGTGGACTTCGACCAGGTGAGATCTTGAAGGTAATTCTTGCGCCAATCCAGGCACTGCAGTTGATTTGACATGGTGGACATGTGTGATACCTCACCGAGCGAGGCAGCATGTGAAAAATGTTCCAGCGAGAAGATGGAGAGATGACGGTGGGTTCCCCTTTTCTAAAGCGTCGATCTCTGCCGGTGAGATAATTCAGCCAGCGAAGGATACAAAAAAGCCAAAGAACCGAACCGAGTCTATGTGAGATTGTTGGTGAAAGAATTAACAGCCGAAGTAAATGCTCAATTGCATGCCTGGGTTGCACTTTTTTCCCGGCGAGGCACGAATCGACCCTCTTAGAATGCTCCTCCGTAGTATCCTAAGTACGGTGGAGCACACGCGTATGGTTTGGACTCCCATCAGTACATGGCCTCGTTGACTCGCCTTCGTTCTAAGTTCCTGAGAGCACCAGGAGTGCATGGCCGCCCTCCGTGTATTTCAGTCAAACAAACACAAATGCACTGGGTTGTTATTAAATTGAATGGAGACTAACAAGACCCACGCCCGGATTGCTATCAACAAACTTTTGTTGTCTATTTTATCTACCCTTCTCCCGCCCATCTCCACCAACACACTTTCAAGACACGTTCCGGTCTTCACCAAGGCAAAATTGTGCCGTCGATATTGAAGAACTTAGCACCGTCAACGGTAGTCAGTCTGTCGACTATCTGCATGATTTTCTGCACTGATTCAGTTGTTGGCATGGCACCGGGGCCTGCTGTCCTGCCCATGTCGGTATCGACCCAACCTGGATGAATTGCCACCACAGTAAATCCATCTTCGTGGAGCTCGTTGTGGAATTGAACAGCCAACATGTTACCAGCAGCTTTCGAGGTTGCGTATGGTCCGCGAAGACCCCATTTCTCGCCGACTTGGCCTGTAAGCGAAGCTGCTGTGGAAGAGATATAAATAATCTTTCGCGTTTTCCGAGCTCGCAGTGCTGAGAGGAATGCATTGATGACTCTGTGAGGACCGGCAACACTCGTGTCAAGGTACTGAAGGAGTCTGTCGGAAGAGATCTTGGTGAGGAGCTCATCCTCGCCGATGGCACCGTTGACGATCAATGTGTCAGCTTCTTTGACTTTCGCGGCTGCTGCGTCGACGGATTTCTGGTTCGTCTGGTCGAGCTCGAGGACGTCAACGTTTGCCGAGCCGAAGGCGAAAGGCTTGCGCATGGTTGCGACGACATGGTGTTCAGGGTTCTGAGCGAGAGACTTCACCAGCTCCAAGCCAATTCCTCGGCTCGCGCCAATGACAACGGTGGTGTTGGAGCTCATGATGAGAATTTCCGCAGATCAAAGCTTTGGATTTGCTCGAAATATGATGGTGTTGTGTGGGGATTTTTTTGTTTTGAAATCTGTGTGTTAAAGCTGAAGTGGTTGTTGAGAATGAAGAGCTCCATGGAGCAAAGGCAAGAAGCCCAGCTTTATACTCGGCTTCACCAGTAGAGAGGGAGCTATGGTGAAGAGGATACCATTTTCATCTTCATTGCAATTAGTCAATGTCCCCTTTCCACAGACAAGGCTGAACCATGTCGGAGCGTCGGAAACAGAAAGCCTCCGCAAGTCCACAGGAGTGCTGAGTCATGGCACGATTCGGTGAATATCTCAACCATTCAAATACCGCATTTCAGATCCGGGGCATCTGTTCATTGATCTGAAACACGCATTCATGGAGCCCAGAATGCCTCCATGTTTCGAAATGCACGACGTAATGCGGACCGAAAGGAAGAACCATATTTCCGTTGGGACATTCCATGATCGTGTAGAGTTGTTTCATACTCTAGGCAGATCAGGCAAGACTCCGCTATCCTGCTCAAAGCTCGAATGCAGTTTTCCCCAGAATCAATGCGGACCGAATTTGGAGGAACTCCACGAGTCGAGATTCTCCAAGATGCAAGCCTCTTTTCCTTGTTCCCTGTCCACCAGCTTGCCGATCTTGAAGACGGTTTCGCCCTGAGCTTCCAGAACTTTCCTTACCTCTCCCGAAGCAACATCGGACACGACAAGGACCATGCCTATCCCGTTGTTGAAGGTTCGACTCATCTCCGCGTTGCTGACATTACCTGCTTCTTGAAGCCATTTGAACACGCCAGGACGGTCCCAGGTAGAGACGTCAATTTCGGCAGCAAGGTGATTGGGAAGCATTCTAGGAACATTTTCCAAGAGCCCACCGCCCGTGATATGCGCCATCCCTTTGACCAAATCTCGCTTGACTGCCTGCAACAGGGAAACCACATAGATCCGTGTCGGTGTAAGGAGCGATCTCCCAACTGTGGTTTCAGAGTTCCACGGCGCAGCGTCTGACAAGGCAAGATGCATCTTCTCGACAATGCGGCGGACCAGGGAAAATCCATTCGAATGGACCCCGCTTGACGCCAGGCCGAGTAGAACATCACCTTCAACCATACTTCCTACATCGGGTAATATTCTCTTCCCAGCAGGTGTGTCGATTGCTCCCAGAGCCGCACCAACTGCATCATACTCAGTTCCACTCAAGAGACCGGGCATTTCAGCGGTTTCTCCTCCAATAAGAGCGCAGTTAGCAATTTTACAGCCCTCGCAGACACCGCGGATAAAGTCACTTGCAATATCGACATCGAGAATACTGCAAGTGTAGCAGTCAAGGAACATGAGCGGCTCTGCTCCCTGCACAACAAGGTCATTAACGTTCATGGCCACCAAGTCGATGCCGACGGTATCGTGGACATTCATCGCATGTGCAATTTTGAGTTTTGTGCCAACTCCATCAATCGCTCCAATAATGATAGGAGACTTTTCGTGGTAGCCGGCTTTTGCAAGATCAAAGGCACCGCCAAACCCACCGATAATGGCATCGGCCCCGGGTCGCGCGGTCGCCTTTACTGCGGGCTTGATCCTGGATACGAGGCTGTTCCCTGCGTCGATAGACACTCCTGCCGATGCATAGGTCATCACAGCTTCTTCTGGGCCTTTCTCCTGTTCCTTTCGTTTGAATGCTCGGTGAGCAATGTCTTTTCTGAAATGCATCCCACTAAATTTGATGGACTCCATCCCTTTGTATGCCTTGGCCACTGCATCTTCCAACGTATCCGCAGTTGCTGTTGACGCGATCACGCGGCCTCCAGTTGAAATAATCTGTTTTCCATCTTTGACTGTCCCGGCATGAAAGACAAATGTGTCTTCGGGAGTCTGATGTACTGTGACGGGCCTGTTTTTTGCGTAAGTACCAGGATAGCCTTCAGCACATGCGACTACCGTGGCAGCGAACTTGGATTCAATCTTTAGGTCAACACCATCTAACCAATGCTCCGTACAGGCGAGGACGATTTTCGCCAGGTCAGTATCGTCGCTCAGTAGAGGCAACAAGGTCTGTGTTTCCGGGTCTCCTCCCCTCACATTGTATTCCAGGACTTTGGGTCCATTTTTAGTGATCATCAAGCCAGTGAAGAGCATGCCGACGAAGGGCATCCCCTCGCGACGCATACAATCGACCGTGGGTTGAACAATTTCCCGGTCAATCTGTGCAATAAGCTCCTTTGAAGCGACCCTTGTTGGCGCATAGCACCCCATGCCTCCAGTGTTGGGTCCTTGATCACCGTCAAAAACACGCTTGTGGTCTTGAGCAGGTGGTAGTGATCGAATAGTGTATCCATCACTGAAAGAGAGAACACTTAGCTCCTCACCCTCCAGAAACTCCTCAATCACAACCTGCGAGCCGGCTGACCCAAATTCTCGGTCGACCATGATCATCTTCAGAGCATCATGCGCCTCCTGTTTTGTCTTGGGAATTATGACCCCCTTTCCGGCGGCAAGCCCATCGGCTTTGATCACGACATCATGATTGACTGAGTCCAGATACGTGCATGCAGATTCGTAGTCGCTGAAATTTCGAAATGCTGCTGTTGGGATTCCGTGACGCTGCATGAAGTCCTTTGAGAAGGCCTTGGATCCTTCCATTCTCGCAGCGGCCTTGCTGGGGCCAAAGCAGCGGATGCCCACGGCTCGGAAGAATTGCTCAATACCGGCGACCAGAGGAGCCTCGGGGCCAACAACGACCAAGTTCAGACCATGCTTCCTTGCGTGAGCCACGAGCTCTGTGAAGTCGTTGGTGGAGATGTGCACATTGACGATATTGTCGGACTCTGTACCTCCGTTCCCGGGTGCAATGTGGACCACGTCGACCGAAGGCGACCTGGCCAGTTTCCACGCAAGAGCATGCTCTCGGCCGCCCGAACCGACAACCAGGATCCGTAGTCTCTCCGCCATTGCAACGTTTTAAGATTCGAAGATGACTCGGCAAAGGAACAATCAGAGTCCCCGCCCAAGAATTGAATTTGCCAGGCTATCATTAAATCACAGAGGCCAGCTCTCGAAACTGAAAATTATCACCAGGACGAGACAGAAGAAAAAAATGGAACTGATGCCAAGACGAGGAAAAACTGCGTGCACCTCCCTCGCTCCCGAAAGGGTGATGTACTAATGCCGCCCTATTCCAAAGCCCCACCTATTACCGTTGTCTTAACCAATCAAAAGGGCCAAAGAGAGGTGAATCCACAGATACAGGCGCCTGTGATTGGTTTCTCAAATCTCTTCAAGCAATCTTGGCGGACAGGATGCTCTAGCGGGAGAGAACGTAATTCCGTCGAAAAGCGGCGTTGCTGAGTCGACGCTTTCGGTAAGCCGGGCTCGGCCGGTCAGCCTGATGTGCCGTTCCTGAAGGTGATCCATTCCGTCCCAACTTTCCACTTCCATTTACTAAATTTGTCCTCCTCGGGCAAAGATTTGCCTGATAGAAGACACTCTTATCTAAGGCTTCCGCAAATCCATCCTGGGCCTCCAAGGCAGAATCGACCTCAACGTAACAGGAAGTGTGTGGACTAACATCGTCTTTCAGTGACACAAGCCGACCTAAACCCATATTCGCGGGTCCCAGCGGCAGGACGACTCCTGGGCACAGAGAACCCAATTTAGTAGCTCAGGACCAATCAATTCACATTAGAGCTTCCCCCTGCAATGCTCAAATGCTTCATCAAAATCCCCTTATCATCCTT